GGGACCCACGATGTTCAACGGTTTGATGGATCTATTGTGGAGAAAGAAAGTGAATGATAGCTGTATACTAATAGTCACTTTATCCTTGAGTCTTTAGATTCTCCCCTGCTTTACAAGCGCTTTATCTTGCTAACTCTCTTGGATTATTGGCTTTCCTGCATCCTTCTACCACAGTTTACGATGGCTTCCCACGAAACGACGCCAAGTGCAGACATTTACGGTCCTGGGACCTTTGTCGATAATGATTTCCTTCCCGCGCCCCAAGATGCTAGTCGCATCTTCGAGTATATTGCCAAGCGCACGCCTGGGTTCACTCAAGACCAAGAGCTGTGGAAGACAGTCAGCTTCACTGGCTGCGAGTTGCCTGTTATCCCTGGCCCAACCAAGGCTCCTCTTGTTGCCGCTGCCCTGCATGCCATGTGTGGTGTTGTGGCCCACGAAATCGTCGAAGATCGCGACGGTACTTTAGCCCGCGATCAGACAGTGAAGGTAAATACCGATCACGCGGCCATCTGGCTGGGGACGATCTTTGCGGCGTCTGTCGAAGGAAAGGACATGTCTGACCTGGTCCGGTCGCGCAAGCTACCGTCCCTTTTCGAGCGTGATTTCGAGAAGGGCTGGCAAGCAACGCCTTTGAGACAACGGTCGACTGCGATCTACAAGACCAAGACGCCGGGAGTTTGGTATCAGATTCATGGCTCCCTGGATGCCGCGCCTGTTCTGCGTGCTCTAGGGGTGGATCCCGAGTACCCGGCCCAGACGCCTGACGAAGCCTACGAGTACATCAGTAAGCATGTCCAGCGGTGGACTGCAGATGAGCTCGAGATGCTCAACGTCAAGAACGGGTTTTGTGGTAGTATCTGCTTTACGCCGCAAGGGTGGGCGGATACACTGATGGGAAAAAGACTTGCAGAGCACCCGCTGGTCGGCTACTCGCGTCAGTCGCATGCGATCCCATCTCCTCCCGTTCCTTTTGCCACGGTCGCGAACGATAAGCGGCCACTCGCAGGCATCAAGGTGGTAGAGCTGGTGCGTATCATTGCTGGTCCAGTGATTGGCAGTACCCTGGCCGCACTTGGTGCCGACGTCATACGTGTTAACTGCAGTCGCTTGGTGGATCTCAATGTATGTTCCAAGTCTTCTTTGGATTCGTTTGCAACATGGTGTATTAATTCGGAATCCAGGTCTTGCAACTCACCCTCAATGCGGGCAAACGCACCATAGATCTCGACCTGACCAAGGAGGAGGACAAGTCACGCCTGCGGGAACTCATCGAGAGCGCAGATGTCTTTGTCCAGGGCTTCCGCCCCAACGCAATCGCGAGAAAGGGATTTGGTGTCAATGATCTTCTCGAGATGGCCGGTAACCGTGGAAAGGGCATCGTCTATGTTGAGGAGAACTGCTACGGCCCCGACGGCCCCTACCACGAGAGACCCGGCTGGCAGCAAATCGGAGATGCGGCGTCTGGTTCGTCGTACGTGATGGGTCGGTCCTTGGGCTTCAAGGATGGGACAAGCGTCCTACCCCCACTGCCCATCTCTGATATGACAACCGGGCTTGTGGGAGCGTTGGGCGCACTTATGGCTCTCCGGGATCGCTCCCGACACGGCGGTTCGTACCGCGTGACGAGCTCGTTGGTCAAGGCTGATACAATTAATCTCGAGCCTGAGATCGGGCTCTACTCGCCCGAGGTTGTTGAAAGATGCAGCCAGTTGTTCAAGTGGGGACACATCGGGCCGTCGCAGTTTGTAACAGAAATCTTGCTGGTTGTCATGGATGGGTGGAAGAGTGTCTTCCCTCAATACTTCAAGGCCGGTCCTGAATCGCTGCTCTCCAGCTTTGGGGAAGGCCCCTGGGGTAAGATGGAACTCTTGAAGCCCGTGGTTCAGTTGAGTGACCCCAGTGTAACGCCTCGTTGGCTGACACCGGCTGTGCCTAATTGCTACCATGATCGTAACATCAATTGGGTGTGAATCTTAGATCCTGATGCACCCATGATTTGGAGCTTCAAACCCATCTTTGACACATGTAATCGCAGGGTAATCGCGGCGCGTTGCATCCATTCTTTTTGCAATATATCAGCGTTAATTTCCATTCTGTATCACAGACCATTTAGATTTTGTCTTTATTTAGAGTATGTAAAGCGAACCTCTTCTTCGCCACTCCGCGTGGGCTTTTTCGAGATTTGTAAACTGTTGCCAGTAGGTAGGCGATCGGTACCGTACACTGTTGATGCACAAAGGAGATGACACGTCCTTAAGGATCAATGCCTAGGCCTACAGGCTCCAACTTTGAGTGAGCGGTGTGTCGTCGCCGAGCTGCGCGAAGAACATGGGCCAATTGTTCCAATCGAAGGTATAATTCTCCACTATTCCCAAATCATCTCCTATGATTGGTGGACACTCTTGAGCACACATGACGAAGTCCTGCATGGATGTGTTCTCATGAGCTCTGTCAACTGATAATGCTTCAGAGGGCCCAATATTCGCTATTGATTCCCGCCTACCAATGCTCTTATCGATCAGATTCAATGCAGAACGGCATCTCGATGCCAGCGTGGTGTGTTTCTCGTAATCCTTGAGAATGTTTCGAGCATGTTGCAGAATGTCCTGCAAGCTAGCCGCAGAAAAATACTCGACAAGCTGCGGGGATGACTGGGCGGCGAGCAAGTTTGTTACAGCCATATAGACGTCTTCCTGGGTTAGCTGGTAAATTTTGCTTCCTTAGGGAAAATTGCAACGTACATGAGACAGTATACCAATTGGATGGTAAGATATACGCTTGCTTCTGCCCGGGGGAGTTCCGGAGGATGAATTCAATCATGTCGACGGCCGCCTTTGTGCAGTTCACCTGGCATTGGAAAACCACGTGGGGCATAATCTGGTCATCGTCTGCATAGATACCGGTACTGGGGGCACTTTCTGTCTTCTGTTGATGGATCTGTAGAAGCAATATCCTGAACAGCAGAAGCCGGACTGAAAGATACCTTCATGTACAAGAGATGTCAGTGGTCATGTTTATGACACGTTTGTCAAGGTCGGAGTAACTGACCTGGCTCGTAGGATATTTGCTTCACGAGTGATGTGCTTGGTTGGCGTTGGATCTTCCAGTTCCGACGGCATCTGGAAGAAGGGGTGCAGGCCGTGAGCCCAGTGTTTCAGAGCAGAATCGATGCGAAATAGGCTCGCGAATTTATCGAAAAGCACAGCGCGGCTCCCCTCACGGTCGTTGCAATTTTCCGAAAGATGATGCCGCACCGTGCTATCATCGATGGAGTAAAATGTCTCCAGTACTTCTGCTATGATGTGATGTAGTCGGCAAAATGACATGTAAAAGTTTAGTTTCGATGGTAGACTGGCGGTTACAGTATTACTCCCGGATTCCTGGGAACTGAGAACTAGCGCGCTCAGCCCTTCTTGTGCGACAGATCGAGGAACCTTAAGGGGGCAGCCGAAAGTCATGGCACAGATTCTAAAATCGCTTCAGCGTATACACTCAAGATTCCAGCTCCGGTATCATACCTGTCCATAATAACGCATCCATTCCAGACTTGGCACGCTAGGTCTCGGTCTTTTGGGTTGTCCATCCCCTCCGTTGTTTCGGGGATATGTAATCCGAGTTCCTGGGCGACATGAATCGCAGTGCCAATAATCCGAAAGCACTTCTGGGGCTCTTTCTCATGCTGAAGATAAACAGCGGTGAGTAACAGTATCTGGATAATCTCGATGTTGTACATGTCCATCAGGTTGTACGACATCAGCGCCTGAGCTCGGTCGAAGAACACAACCGAGGACTGGTAGCGGTCAAGCGGGGTTGCCCCTTGAGATGCGACACAGGATGTGGCGAACATGAGATTCAGAAGGCAATGCAGGACGGTCTCATCCATTATCAGTTCACCGTCATGAACCCATAAGGTCTCGTATGCGTTCTCAATTGAAGGTCGGTCTAGCCAGGGGTAGGCGCTGTCCACATAGTCCCAATAGAGGCTCAGAAGCTTGTCTGCCTGCTTCCTTGGAGGAACCGCATATTGCACATCGGCGTTTGCTTTCTGGGTACGTTTTTGCAACTTCGGCAGACATCTCAGTGCCTTTGGTAGAACTGGGGTCCGGATTTGTCTTTGGTTGGTAGGGGTACTTGCTGCGCCTGGCTGACTTCCGACATCTTGAAGAAAGTGTGCACCACTGGATGCACCAAATAAGCCGCCGGCCGGGACAGCTTCACTGAAGCTGCTGGCAGCATCGTCATTATCATTGGCTTGTGCTTGTGGGTAGTCTTCCAGTAGTTGCTGAGTTGTGCGGCTTGACTGCTCACTGATATCACCCTCACGGTATTCACAGGCTGTGGTATATGAGGTTCGTTTCCGTCTCAAGCAGGGACCGCAGACTAATGCACGATGAGCCTAATTTAGTTCTCCACCACGTGTGACAAGCAATGTTATTGGCCTCTCTTACTTGGTCTAGCTCCGTCGCACTTGGTTTTCCTGGCCTTGCATACATTGCAGGCAATTCTAATCTTGGCCCGTTTCGGCTTGGGTCCTCTCAAGGCCTCGCCATGTGGAGATGAGTGGCCGGCATGGAATGAGAACATCATCATTGGAGGAGGAATACAACATTCTTGGAAATGGACGAGATTCCGAATCTCCATCCGAAGTTCTCATATCCATCCCGTGCGATTATGTCATTCGCTTCCGTTCCCGATTCGGTAATCCGAGGTCTAGCGGATCCTCGGCATCCATTATGAACCAGTTACCAGAAGCCCGAGGAATTAAAACTTGGAAGAATCGGTATGCCGGTGGAGCACGATTCTGAATGGTAGATACTTAATCGCTCAAGATGTAATAGTACGGAAGTTGAAGTGGCCGTTGAACAACGCTGGTCCCGAGCTTTCCGGCTACGGCTCATGATTTATATATCCTAGCAACTGAACATCTTCATTGGCCTCTTACTATCACTTCTCAATTCGAACTTTTAACATCACCACCACCACCACCACTACTAAACACTCAACATACATATCATCACAATGGCACCTCGACCTGACCCTCCCGCAACGGGACGTGTTTATTTCCTCGATGTTGGAATCTCAGACTCCGAGCCCAATGGACGTCTTCTAACCTGCAAGCCCGATGGCTCGGATTTCCGCGAGCTGATCACACAACTCAACACCCTGCCCGACGGTATTGCCATCGACTCTGGCCGCCAGTATATCTATTGGACCAATATGGGAATTCCTTCCGCCGATGACGGGTCCATTCAGCGCTGTGATCTTTCAGGGAACAACATAGTCACCATCATCCCGAAGGGATACACCCACACTCCGAAGCAATTGATCATTGCTCCACGATCCCAGAAGCTGTACTGGTCTGATCGCGAGGGCCGGAGAGTGATGCGAGCGAACCTAGATGGAAGCGACATTGAGGTACTATACAAGGCCACTTCAAGCGAAGGCACGGACACACCGGCTGTGCTCGACTGGTGTGTGGGCATTGCAGTTGACGAGGACGCGCAGTTGGTATATTGGACACAGAAGGGTCCGTCAAAGGGCAACCTTGGCCGGATTTATCGGATGGGGATTGAGATGAGACAGGGAGAGTCAGCGGAGTTGCGGACAGATGTTGAATGTCTTATTAGTGGTCTTCCCGAACCCATTGATTTGGAATTGGATCACACAACGAGGACGCTGTACTGGACGGATCGTGGAGATCCACCTCGTGGAAATACAGTGAATTCGGTGGATCTTTCCAGTGCGCCTGTGAATAAGCTGGAACCAAAGATTCTGGTGCGCAAGCTTCATGAGGGAATTGGAATCGCCCTGGATACCAAGAATAAGCGTATGTTCTTTGGAGACTTGGGCGGCTCGTTGTACAGTGCCAATTTTGATGGGTCGTGCAAGAACACCATTGTGGCTGATGTTGGGGGTGCGATCACTGGTGTGGCGTATGTTGGGGAATAGAGTATCATATAATCGAGATAGAAAGCGTTGTATATAGTATAGACTTGTCTGATTTATTCCCCTCTTCTATGTTAGCTTCCTACGTGCTGCAGCTTCATTTATAAACATACATCCTTTAGCATATATTGTTGCATCTAATAAACTATAGTATTGCACATGCTTTCCAGCTGTATATTTCTTGACTTGGCCAATAGACACTTCATCAGTACGAATATCTAAAGCGAACATTCTCCCTATCTGTCTGGTCGACGTCGGAATCCGTCTGGCCACTTGTGGTTGTAATCCCATCCTTCGTGCGATTCAAATATGCCGCATAGACTGCGAACCCGAGTAAGAGAAAAATCTCAACACAATATGCGACCAGCATGGCAATGATCCCGGATGTATATTGGGGTGCTTCGTCGGACTTGAAGGCAAATGGCCCAACAATGTTTCCAACACAGTACGAGATGAAAAAGATGGCATTCACAACCGATCGCTTGGTGGTCCCTCCTGTGTTTGCTGTGATGAGAGACATGATCATTGCGAATGATGCGGTATAAGTACTTGTAAGCTAGGATAAAATTAGCCACCATCATAAATTTGCCGTTTCAGGGAGTGATATACCCAGTAGCAAACAAGTAGAGCTATTTTGTGGTCTCGCGATATAGTATGGATCCCAACTGCTCCGGACAGAGCGGGACATACATATATAGCACCAACGATACACCTCTTCTGCCCTGGCAGCCATCGCTGGATATACATGGCAGACACGTTAGACACCAATATCACCATGCCGTACGGAATCTGGAACAGCGTCGTGACAAGATTCGAATATCCGAAACCCTCTATGATGAGACTCCCAAAATTACTCGCCGCCCCGTTGACGACTTGCGTGCAGACTCCACAATGGAAGAAGAACCACGTTTTGGGATCTGTCAGGGCTTCCCACATCTGGTACCTTTTGATCTTGGACACCCTGGTGCCGGAGTGTACGGGACCGAGACGGTGGATGGCGACATATTTTTCTTGTGCGTTAAGCCAGCGACTGTGCCATTAGCAGCGGTATACCTAAACAGAAGGAGAGACAACCTACGCAGTAGACGGCCCATCCGCAAGACTAAAGGACATAAATATCCCCCACACAGAAGATATAGCACCAATTATAATGAATTGATACTGCCACGACGCCAGATTGCCTTGGATATGGCCGATAGCAAATGCCAACAACCCCCCAAACGCATTTGCAATACCAAGAAAGGTCGACCACCATCCTATTCTAATCGGCTGTTCCTCAATAGTATACCATGTTGCTGTGATGAGGAGATAGGATGGTGTAGAGCATGACTCGAGAGCGCCCAGGACAAATCGCAGACCAAGAAAGGGTTGAAAATGCGTACATGCCGCCAGAGCCATAGTCACTCCGCCCCAGATGAAGATATTGACAAACAGCCATTTGGACACGGAGAGTTTCTGCATGGCAAAAACCGAAGGGTATTCAAACTGCCCATGTCAGTAAGGTATAACGTCTACAGGTTGGGCCGATAGCTATACGGCGAGATACCCAAAGTAGAACATGCTCCCTGTCAGAGTTAGTATGTTATCGTATGGAAGTCGGCTGCCCATACCCAACCAACTATACTCAGTCCCTTTCAGATGTAAATCTTCCTTCAGCCCAAAAACAGCGGCGTAGCCCATCATTGCTTTATCGATGTAGGTAATAAGATATGTGATACAGATGAAGGGAATCACCATCCAATCGACTTTCCTGATTACCCGACGTAGGAGAATTGGGTCGAACTGTGCTGGCCATTGTGTTTCGTCTAACTTTTGATCCTGCTCCACTGACTCGAGATGGTCTGTAGTTGTTTTGGGATCATTCATATTTCGTGTCAATTATGGCTAGATACCAGAGAACGGTTGAGCGGATGCTCTTAGATTATCGTCCCCGTGTACATGGGTTGTTTTATATAAGCATTCCGATTAAACTTTCCTTCCAGTTAACAGGTCAGAGACAGAAAATGCAATTGAGAAACACCCCGCATCAGCGATCATCTTTTACTCACCGCTGGCCAATTGCTCTGCCAATTCCTAGTACGGTAGCCCGGGGCCCCGGATTATCAATCGTGGGGACTGGCCGAAGCTAGTCTGGGCGGATATGTTTGTTATTTGCTAGGGGACCGGAACACAGGCGAGGTGGCTGCTTTCTAAGAGTTAGCAGTGGATTGCGATCGCGAGGATTCTTTCTTATTATGCCCTCACTCCAAGCATTGGCTGTGCATTTGTCTGAATATGGCATATCCGCGCCGGAAAAGTGATATATCGGAGGCTTTTCCGCTCCGATACCCACTTACAAAAGTCTTAGTTGGTCAGCCTCGGTTAAGGAAGAGGTATAGCGCGGACTGGTTGGAAAGAAGATAATATTGGCAGGCATTAGTGAAATGACAGAATGAGGCGCTGATTTATTTACTTTCCGTAAAATGCATGTGAGCTGCGTTCGAAGGTGTTTCTGGTGTTTCTGGCGTTTTCCAAGGAAGCCGCGGCGACGCTTGATCCATGTGACAATGTGTGAAGCATCAGGTTTTAGACATTCATAGTCGAAGATATTCAGTATCTATTTCATGGTAGGAATTCTATCAATGGGTCAATCAAGCACAAATCTTGCATTTCAAACAAGCTTTGTGCTGCTATGATTATAACGTGCGGAAAAGCACCCAAATCCGCCCCTCGCCACGGTCGGATCTATCAACCCCATCATTGCGCATACGGTCTTCCCCATATTTTGGAATTCCTACGACCCCCACACATGAAGCATTATCCCCAGATTAAACTCTGAGATGCCTCCTATAATCCTGGGGTTTCCTCCATGTAGCGAGCCCAATTTAGCTCATCACCACAGCACCTGCAATGGAGCCTTCCGTCTCTTTTGACGCTCTCCCTCTCCAGAAGGACGGTCCCCACGGAAATGCCTGGGGCCTTTTTGGTCCGTTGGACCAGCTAGGTATGCTGAATCGCCTCACACCCGAGACAACGAAGGAAGCAACAAGAGAAATTATCGATGGGGTCCGCGTATCCACCGACTGGTCACTGAATAGTATGCAAAAGCCGTGTTTTGGCCGTTCAAAACTCGAACACGTCGTGAAGAACAAAGCCCCGCGAGCTGTCAACGATGACAGCCTTGCTTTCAACACGCAAATTAGCTCTCAGTGGGACGGATTCCGGCACTACGGGTACCAGAATGAGAAGATCTATCTAAACGGGTGTACTCTGGAGGAGATCCAATCTGGGGATAGGAATGGAATTCATGGTTTGTTTCATATCCTTTTTTGACAACTGCATGCAGTTCCTGATCATCTCAGTGTGGGTTGAAAATGGGGGAATTGTAGGACGCGGCGTTCTCCTCGATTACTCCTCCTGGGCGGAAGCACAGGGGATATCAATCAACTGCTTCGCTACCACATCCATCCCTGTCTCGACTCTAAAGGACATCGCCGCTTATCAAGGAACATCATTCAAGAGAGGAGACATCTTATTTATTCGCACAGGCTGGACCCGTGCCTATGAACAGCTGTCCGCAGAACAGTGCCAAGAGCTCGCCGATCACAAGATCCCACCGGCTATTGGTGTCGAATCATCCGAAGACACCCTGCGCTGGATCTGGGATGAAGGCTTCGCAGCTGTTGCGGGAGACATGCCCAGTTTCGAAGCATGGCCGTGTCAGAATACTGACTTCTGGTTGCATGAGTGGTTGCTAGCAGGCTGGGGCCTCCCCATTGGAGAGTTGTTTGATCTGGATCGCTTAAGCCAAGAGTGTCGGAAGAGGAACCGATGGAGCTTTTTCTTCAGTAGTGTTCCGCTGAAGGTACGGAATTATTGTTATTTTGTTGGTGGTTCGATGCTAACTAGTCTAAGGTGCCTGGTGGAGTTGCTAGTCCACCTAATGGTGTGGCCATCCTCTGATTAGCCTCATACTGCGTCGAAGAACTCTGGAATCCTGTAAATATGATATCATAACGAATCACATTGTCCAATAATGGATATCACTCATTTATTGGTACGAGGAACAAACAGCCAGCGTGGCTTTCGACATGCTGCAGAATTGACGAATAATGAATATTCAACTTGTCAGGAATTATCCAAGTTGCGGCTGCATCAATTTATTCCAGATGAATTCTAGTGCCTATAAACACTAGCTGTGGGGTTGAACCCGTTGGGTCACCTGCTGGCTATCCGCAATCACCACGAAGAATTGCAATCCCCGTGCCACAACACACATGCACCATAGAATTGGTAATATGATTCGCCCGAATTCACCACCTTTATTCCAAGCACCACTTCATTTGGTTCTTCCACGATGGTTTGAAATAAGAGTATTCACTTCGCATTGACTATTGAGTATGATGTGATTTCCAGCTCCTATACAACATTCGACACAATCAATCGAGTTCAGAGACAAACAAAATATGCTAACGCCCTCCCTTGCAGCACTGCTGCATCCGGACCTCGCCGGATAACTCCAAAATCCCAAACGCCGTTATTTGCTATTCTTCTTCTTCTGCTGCTCCAAGATGTCAATGTAGACGTGGCCCAGAGGTCCAGCCTCTGGGCTCCATCCCCCATGTTCGACACGATACTTGTTATTACTGTCCAGCATCTCGACGATGTTCACGCGATTGCCCTGGCGATTATCCCAGTGCAATTCGCAGATCTTTTCCTCGTCGTGGAAGAGGTCCAGCCGGCCCTCACTGCCGCGGCGACCGCGAGCACAGATCTCACCGATGCCGTACGAGGGGATGGTGATTTCATCAATCTCGTCCTCGGTGAGGGACTGTCTGCGGTTATTGGGGTCGTGGAATTCACCACTATTCGATGAGATTATCAGTTACTATACCAGACAAGGGAACCAATTGAGATGACTTCATTGAACAGTCCAATAGACGACATACCCTTCGATGACGGTGTGACGGACGGAGATCTCGCCCTTGTCCAGGTGGTCCCGGATGTGGAAGGAGACCCATTGGTCGTCCATGGGGCCGGCTGCAGGCATCTTGAATGAAGCAGGGCAACAGGTGAGTAAAAAAGGGTAAGTATATCTATGTATGCTGTGATGCTTTGAGGATGATGGGAGAGAGAGGAGCGAGTCGAGCAGCTACCGAAGGGGCTATTTATTGCTTGAGGCCCGGCTGTGGGGTGATTCAAGAACGGGTATTGGCAAGGGCTGATCAGTCTTCCATTTGTTGGATGAATGAATGGAGAGGAAACCAGAGACAGAGGGCAAAGCAGAGAAAGAGGATCAGATGACGGCAGGGTGGGTTGATGTGGTTGGCTCGACGGTGGGCTGATCCACGGATGGAGAGCTGCAGATGCTGGGATTGTGGGGGTGGGCCGGCAAGTGACGGGCTGCTGCTCACTGCTTCTTCGGCGAGTCTATTGTGGTGTTACTTGGTGGCGTCATGGCCCGTGGTATCTTTGTCACTGGCACCGATGGCATCACCACTTTTCTTGTGCTGCAGCAGCTGCTTAGGTTTGCTTCGCCTGTTACCCCCGGCTTGTCTTCCCCGCACCACTGGGCCAATGATCACCAGTTGCGGTTCCAGGGATCGGCAGAGCTGTCGATGCCGGTCCATCCTCTTAATTGGATGTCATCTCGCCTTTTTCCCTTGGTGGCGAGACACCTGGTCTGGAAAATTGGCCAAAGAGACCTGGCCAGAAAGTGTTTCAAGTTGGCAAGTCTTCAATCGACTACAAAGTTGTTTCTCCGCCCCTCGTAATAATGGGACCAACCAGCTCGGTTTCATCTATTGGCTTGGGTCTTCAAAGTACCTGGCTGCTCAACCACTGGTATCTTCTTATTACTTCTTTAGGATGTGATGCCTGCAGCTCTCCCTTGGACATGCAGCGAGTCGTGGCGGATGCTGATAGGAGGGCCAGACTTAACGTCGAGGGCTAGATTCTGCTTGGTTATAACTCACAGATAACAGGCTGCGTTGATCGGAAGGAGTTGTACATGGTGTAGAGAACGGCGCCTCGCTTTGCACGTCGCCAGGGTGTGTATACCTTTCACTTGCATGCCCTTACAAGTCAATGCATAGCAACGCAGTAGTAAAGAGTCGACTCATAGGTTCCCTGCCATCCGAGACAAGCACACCAATGCAGGCAGGAATTGACCGAAAGCTAGGGATGCACCTACACATAACTTACTTAACAGACCATCACCGGATCGGGGCATGATCATCTCCGACACTCCATGCACTTGCAGTCTTCTTACAGTAAATGTCTGTCTCAGCCGATCGGATGAAGATCCGCCCGACCCAACGTGACCACTTGCCTGCCTTTGTCCGGCCACTGATGATCCTTCCCCCTCATTCAGAGCAGTACTAAGTAAGTAGAAACCATGTTAGGGATCGGAAGACTCTTCTAACCAGATGAAGGGTAGATCGTCAAGGTCAAATCCCCGCGCAACAGATACGACGTTCAGCCGTCTACAGCACGAATGAGCAGCATACTGCTCGGGACGGTCGCGCAGGCCAACGACTCATGCAGGCGACGTCAGCTGGTAATATTGCAGACTTACGAGACAGAAACCGACGATGAACGGCTATCCAGAACAGCGTGAACTTCTAGATGCCAATCTGCCCACCCGATGCAGTAGATAAGGGCTCTCGAAACAGCGTCGGAAAGAGGTCACGTGCCCATATGGTCTCCTAGTGAGTGACAGTATCAACCCAGGCATCAGCCTAGAGAAGGATAGTAACCTACCCCAGCTTGCTCGTCCGAGTTGGTCAGGAACATTCGGAACTGGAAAGCCAATTCTGCGTGGATGGCACGGCTGCTCCCATGTCACGCGGGAGCGGCTTGTTGCGGTTCAGATGCAAGGCAGAGGCGGGGATGGCGAGTACTTAGTTTCATCCGCCCAATTGCTCGATACTCACTGGTTCTACATGGGTCGCATTGGATGAAAGAGGTGACAGTGACACCATGCACACCCCGCTCGAGAAGGCCAAATTGCATCTGAAACCCGGTCAGTCTCTGCAACCACCAGCGAGTCAAAAGCTCTTCAATCATGGACAACATTCATATCTTGGCATAATCAAACGATGTAATGATCGAACCGAATGATCAAGGTGACATATCGCATCTGCAGTGTGTAAGAAATTACGGTTTACAAAGCCCGGAAGGGCAAGTCCGGTTGTAGAAGTGTAATGATACACAGTGCCTGTCAAGAAGCTTCGAGGATGATATTATACATGCATGCAACTAACACAAGAGCCTGTCACAGGCCCTCTGCTCTATAATGGAGCGGACAATTCTTCGTATCGCCGCTTTGCGATCACCTAATACAAAGACCGCGGGCCCCCGATGTTTAGGGGGAAATGCCATAACCAGTCAAAGTCTGAGCCTTTCAGGCTTCATAGTTATAGCAGAGGTATCCTCCAACGGGGTTCATCACGTCGGCTACAGTGACGTCCGGCATTACATCGAATGTGGTCAAGGTATAATTGAGGGTTGTCTGCGGCCAGCCTGATGCGGGCTCGACATTAGCCGATTCATTGATGGCAGGGCCGCCCATGTCCCACAGATGCTTGGCAGGATCATTCATCTGCCACCGATACCAAAGACGGTCGATGTAGCCATGGTGCAGATAGAAGAGCGGGTCACCAGGAGAGGTTTTTACATCCGCCATCTAGTATTTTTACTTTCGCGTCAGCTCATTGAATCCACCCCCTTCGCGTCAAGGAAAACCAGGCACTCACCACTCCACCAACCGCCCAGTGACCTCCTCGGTGAGGCGTGGCGGCAATGCAAGCGAAGTATTCGTCGTAGCTGTCGAATGTATTGCAGTGGGCGACTGCCGCACCGGTGGTATTCAATATCGCCTCGTAATTTCCCCAGCTGCGGTTCATGCAGAACACCGTGTTTTGTTCCTGGGGGCCGATATGTTCCGTGTAGTACGCAAAGGCCCCATCGGTCACACATCCATCAGGTTCCGTGCCATTACCACCAAACGCATCTGCATCCCACATCTCCGATCGGAACAAATTCCCGGAATCCGTATCGTATGCCTCGTTCCACCATCTCCAATCTAGTCAGCTTCCTTCCTTCTTGTGCCAGTGAGGGGGGGCAAAACCTACGCCATTGGGCCGGTATAGCCACACTGCTCCTTCAGCAATGTTTCATATACATGCAGGAAGTATCGGTGCCAGGGCAGGAATTGGCCCTATTTTGTCAGATTCGGCTCTGCCACTGTGTATCGCGAACGAACTCACCACACTATGGATAATGTCACCCACCGGGGTGTCAGTAAGGGCACGGTGCAAAGCCTGCAGATCGCTGAAGCGGTTCGTGGTGGCCTCTAGCCCCGTTTGCGCAGGAAGATCCATCAAACAATTGACTCCCTCGAGATAGCTTTTCTGTTCAACCTTGGTCATATTCCGCCACTCCTTTCGAATGCTCATCTTCTCTGGCGTACATCCGCCTGAGAACAACCCTGGATCAAGGCTGGTCACAGCATCAGAAGCTGGTGTTTCGCTGGTAGAGGCCAGCCCGATGGCGGCCAAAACCCAAAAGGCGGAAAGCATCATGTTTAACGTATCAGGTAGGATTCTAGCCCGCCGGCGGTCGATATAATAAACAACAGATAGGAAAGGAGACGCGACGACTTCTCTCTCAACGACGATCCACTCGGCTTTCGCCCCAAAACGAAATCGGCGGGGAGGAGACGCGGCAGCTTATGTCTGTCCCATCGCAGATAGTTCGATCGATCTTCATTCTTTAGCTCATGCTGATTTCGGCCACCTCTCCTGACCGACATCCCGAAATACCCGGATAACCCACTGTTCAGATAGCCATGTCTAGCTTCCAAGATTGCGATAAAGATATTTTAAGCGTCTACCAACCGATTGACCAGCAGGTCCGCGCCTCGGCCTTGGTGGAGCTGTGCTGGTTGGCGACATGTCTGGTTTTCCTGTTTGGTATGCGAGGTGCATTCCAGTGACAGATCGCCCAGCCACGGCGGGCATGTAAACTCAATTGTTCTCGCTTTGCGAAATTGCAAAGGTCTAAATACGTTCGGCTACTGCTGTCGCACCTGGGGGTGGATACAAGCAAGCTTTCGCCTATACGGAGCCGTCGGCGAACTACGCTAACGCGCCCTCTGGCAGTCGACAACATGCAATTCCCACTCGATAAGCCTTGAGTCTTCATTCCCGCGCCATCGCAAAATATGTGGCTGAACATTCCGCCCTACATCCCTACCATCTCTCATTTGCGAAGGCCGTTGTCAACACTAGCGAACCCGTGCAAGCCAGTGTCGTCGACAGCGAAATGGGCACATCAAGAAAGGCGTCCATCCCAAGGTCTCTTCTCCGAACCATCATTTGACTCTCGATTCGCCGTGTTCTGGCTCTCCTTCATCATATCTTCATCTCGCTACTTTTCCAAAGAACAGCAGGAGCGAGCTGCCCGCGATCGATCGTGCAGTCTGCGTCGAGCTCACCACCCCTGGTGCAAAGGGAATGCACTCCCGTCATCCAACTACGTGAGGGCGGCATGCCATGCGGTTATGTCTTGGATTGGATTCTGCCAGCCTTGCCAATGGAAAACAACACATTCGACTATGCAAAGAGATAGTCAGACTTCAGACTAAGGCGCAGCGAGATCACAAGGCGATGCAGCTCCTCACGCCGCATGCCTTTACAACAACATCCGTAGTATAGACGAGCCAGAGTCGAGGGTCTTTGAACACTGCCCGTCGACACGTGTGGTCTAGGGCAATCATTCTATGAGCGAGCCCCCAGCCAGAGTCTTCCAACGTGGAGCATGTCGACATGCATATTGCCCATGATGGCTGGGCTGGTGGCTTCAATTTGCGAGTGAACCTAGCCAGGGTTCAGAACGAGGCCTGCTTGGGCCAAAGTTTAAGGCGCTTATAAGCAACGCACTGAGATGTATGCCCAGCTGCGTACAGCACACACGCATCGTCTGCTGCGCCTGAATACTCCAGCCACACCTATGCTTTACCCTTTCTAGGCGTACGAGGAGCGACCAGTGCATAGGGCTCACCCGGTCTATGTATTCGCAATAAATTGGATAACATCCAATTTTGAGCCGTTCAAACTTCCAGTCTCACTGCAATGGCATGTCATCAAATCACCACTGGCGATTGTAAGCTCATCTGGCTCTGTGGAGTGGGAGGTCCGAACATAGTGAAAGCTTCCAGAGTCTGACGCCAAATGCCGGTGTCCCAGTCGTTGTGCATCAGAGTTTCAAGATATACAGCAGGTTCTGGCTGCATGGGTAATTGACTTGGTGTCCAGTGGGGCTGTGAGTCGAAAATGATCGAAGGGGGCGGGCCCTGCCATGAGACAGGGTGTCGAGGCGGACCATAAGCCTCGCTCGGTTGTTGCACCACATGACTGATACTACACTGGCGCTGCGCTTCACTTTTGCTTTTCTCTAGCCATGCCACCATGCTTATCACACGGCAGTTCGACCAGATATCATCACCAAGAGAGAGAGAAGCAATCTTCCGCATTGTGGCCAGAACGTCCTCGTGGACGCGCCGGCTGTCTATCTCTGGTGTAGGATGGTTGTAGTTTCCAAATAGCAGGCTTACCTTGGCAAGAACCAGCATCACATACCAAAGGGTATAATATGAGGAAGCCGGCAGGTGCACCGCCACGTCCGCTGGCACCTGGAGATACGTGGCAAGAACCCGGTGAGCGGAGGCCGTAAGATGCTGTAGCCGATTGATCTCCCGAAGTCGGAATACGTCTCTGCGGCGCTGCACTGCTTGACCCAAGGTCAAGGTGGTGAGTGCGGTGAGCTCCAGACGAAGGGCCCCTTGTGATCAGATGGTTAGGTTTCCGAGATATGGACATGTTTTTGGGAGCGACAGCAACTCACAATTGTCACACGAGGCGAGTCGTGATAGCTGGTCCTCGGTCTGTCTCTCTTGTCGTTCGATGGATTCTACGATCTGCTCCCATGACGCATCCCGAGGGTGGTAGGAGCAGAGGCATACGTCTTCATCGAAAACACATTGCGTACGTCGCAGGAAATTGTTGGAGAGGATATAGTCCCCCAGGAGGACATCGCTGGGGTATTCGGGTTTCCGAGCAAGATCCTCCACACACTGGGCAATCCATCTAGTGTGCCTCATCGTCACCTGTCGGCGAAATAGAGTCGATCTTCGAGGTGGTTGTTAGTCCGAATGCCCAGCGTTGAATAAAAAAAAAAACCACTAATGTCACGGGCAACACTCACGTGCAACACAGGTGGTAGCAACCTAGCAGAGCCCTCTGCTCCGTGGGATTCGAATGATGGCGTTGGTTGTCCGCGGGCTCTGGAGGGATAGGCTGCATCCGGATGTTCTCGTCCTTGTCGATGCCCAAATCGACGACCACCATGTGAGCCATTTCAAGTAGCATGTACTTATGGATATGTGGGGTCCGCCAGTGATAATGAAACCATGCGCAATGAACGAGGAGCCCCAAGAGGAGATCGAGATTGCGCTCGCCCTTAGCGATGAGACGAGTGGCCGCCGTTTCGCGAACGAGAGCCTCCAGTTTGTGTTGCAGGAGGGGTTTGTGTTCCATACACACGGTGACGATGCACAGCAGGAGGAAAGGCGAGCGCTGGCGGAGGACCTCGATCTCCATATCGGAGGACACCATGACGAAGGGGAACTGGGCCATTTTCTGGGTCCGGAACTTGTCCATAAGCTCATCAGCCTCGCGTAGGGTGACCAACCCGCCGAGAACGGGATCCCCCGAAGCCTCATCGCTCGGTCGAGAGCTTTCCCGGCGGTGGTAGAGTCGCGGCGAGTCTGGTGGGTGCGTGGACGGAGTTGCACTGGAGAGACTGCCGTGGTGGGACGATTCACCTTGCTAGGTACGGTTAGAGCACGCCTTGTTGGAACCACAGTAGCAAGATGATGGGAGGGGGAGAGAAATTGTATACCTTCTGGCCCAGTTGCGCTGCTAGATTATCAATTTGCTCCTGAAGGGCATCAATGCGGGTCTTCCTGTGGTGGCGGAGGAAAGATTAATCAGCCAATGGTTGGTGGCCGGGAATATATGCAGTAGTAGTAAGTAGTAAGGTATGGATGTGATAGTGATCAGAAGGCTGAGGGTTGTAGATCACGCTGGATGCAGGCTAATCGGGAAGTTTGTGCAATCAACATAAAAAATAAAAGTAAAATAAAATAGAATAGAATAAGAGATAATTGATAAATAAATAAATAAACGAAAAGGAAAAGAAAAGAAGAAATGGAATAAAAGAAAGCAAAAACTACTACCGTTACACACTTCTTACTAGTAGTACTCACCTGGGACGAGTGATATGGGGGGACTCAGGCAGCGAACATGGCTGGCCCAAACGGGTGCAGCGGACGCACGTGCCTGTGGGGGGAACAGGCACGCAGCGGACTTTCAATCGGACACATCGGACGCAGGCATGGCGTCGCGGTGGCTGCTTGCGATTCATTTGCTCCCGCCAACAAATTGTGGGTTCGTCACCGTCAGAGCCAGGCACGATGCAAAGCACGTTTGGGGGGAAAAAGGGAGGGAGGGGTTGGACGTGGCAAGAATGGGGGAGGAGAAAGTGGGAAGATGCAGGGGGGAGAAAGGATTGTGGTTGTCTGGCTTGCTCGCGTCGAGTAGTAAGTACTTAGTACCAATTAGTGCTGACGGGATTAATTCCTTAAAGGAAACCAAGAAAAGAGGAAAGAGGGAAAGTCACATGAGACGGGCCCGCGCTTCCCCTTTCCTCTCTACTACGTACTTTACTTCCCCTTCTTCTTCTTCTCCATCTCTATACATTCAAATCTTTCTCTCTGTCTCTCCCCCATTGCCATTGTTCAGAGTATATTCTGTAACCTTCTTCTTTCCAACTGCATCTCACCCCTTACCGATTCCACGACATTAGTACCTCTTTGCGTTGCAGGGTCCCCGCCAAGGGCCACCAATCCAGAGGCTGCAACAAGCGGGAGGCTGCACTAGAACCTCTCCCTAGAGATGCGGCATCGGTGCGACCGAGTCGGAGTCGGAGCAGGAATCGGTCACACTGACTCTTTGAGCACTAGACAAACAACGGTCCAGCTCATCTGGCCAACCAACGACAATTCTGATCAACTTCGCTCACACACTCTCTTATCAATCTCTGCTTTGTTAGGGACGAATCAACTTGTTCAACCAGCGATCGGCTTTTCTGGTCTAGCCGTCTGGAGAACCCAAACGAACTGGTGGATCACCGATCGCTGTCACGCTCCACTCTTCCACTCCATGGCTCCAGCTCTCGACATAGTAGACAATTGTTCGGGTCATGTGCTGTAGCTCTAAACTTCTTAACTTGTCACACCAGTCTTTCAGATCCTCTTATCTGACAACGCCTCACGTTACGGGCGCATACTGGTAGCACGAGCAGCCGTTCAAGAGTCACGACGGGATACTGCTGTGTCCGGTCGGCTCTTATGCGTGAAGAGCGACGTGGAACATCTAAACATAGGAATGAACCTTACATTTGCATTGACGAACCAAAGAAGCATCCTTGGATTGCCGTTCCATCCATGCGCCCCTTCGATTCAAGGCATTAGACACCCATCCATGGGTGTCTTGAGCACAATCCCGGAATATCCCATTGTGATAAGGTTCTTACCCCGTAGCGGAGTGGAATGTTCATGGGTAGACTTTGGAGAAACAGCTTGACCAGCCTGGTTCTGCGGGTACACAAAAACATACTCCTCCTTGCCTTGGTCAGACTTTTTCTCATACCTCCCCTAGATCCGCATTTCTCGGCACACATTTATTTGAGCACTAACCTTAGCCTAGTACATCACCAGTGCGCTTCTATATAATGTCCCGTACTGTTTCTTTTACGAGATACCCTCCAACACCTTGATTCGTCGCATCGTAGACTCTTGAGTGACCTTCAAATCATTCAATCATTACCCACTGAGCCCTTACTCCGACTATATCTATACACAAGGCCAAATCGGACAGCATAAATTTGTTGATGGTGCGCATACCACATGGATGATCCTACTATCTCTCGCCACCACATCATTGAACAGCGTTTATACGAGCAGGTGGGTACAAGAATCTAAAGACAATGATTTACGGCCCCATCGTACATACGGTGAGGAGAAAGCGATCTCTTACAGAAATATCAAATAAGAGCATGAATGAATGGACGGTCAAGAAGTATGTGGAAACGGGATTCCTTTTCTCTTCCCACGGCTTTCGGAACGATACTGATCGCCTGGAAAACGACCTGACCGCCCAAGATAACTCATCGAGACAGCTCATTAAACACAATTCCACCAAGTCTGGGGTGAGCCTTGGCTTGGATGACATTCAGGGATGGCGTGCAGCCAGGAGAGACTGTGATGGCCATGGCTGCTCTACCTGTAGAACACTGGGCAATGCTCAGGGCGCTTGTTGATCGTATGACGCATCGTTTCGATCTGTGCCCGACTTCTAGAGGCGCAGACGTGATCGCCAGGCATGCCAAACGCAGTATGTTTCATTTCTTTCACTGCTAATCAGTCGGCCTACCATATCCACCTCAGTATAGATCATCAGACCCAGCCAATCCTGCTCCCACCTGCTGGTAAACAAAAAACATCGGATGCCCCAATACTTTCTTTTTGTTTCAACTGTTACATAATGGCGCAGTCTATGATTGACAAGCCATCTCTGGACCGCGGACTTTGTCGGGGGCACGATCAATCACAGAAAGGTCCTGTTAGCGGAAATATTTTCCCACCGAAACGGGTTCAGTATGTCCCACTAATAAGGCTCTGAAGTCGGTCAGGGGGGCGACAGCCATTACCAACAGGTATGCCTTCCAGTATGGGCTGCCAAAGGGCTAAAGGCTCCATCGATGGTTGTGACAACCGCCTTACGTTGGCATCCTCATCATGCCATAGTGGACATATGCCATCCGAACATTCCCCGGGTCAAGGAGGGCAAAATCCTGTGCTTACGACGCCCGCAGGTATTCCAGACAGCAGCACTGTGGGCCAAGCCACAACAACATCGGCGGGGAGGGAAGATGAAACAGTGGTGGCTTTACCACCGGGCATGTGGTCCGTTTGTCGCGAGATGCTACCGCAACACGGCTGGTCTCCTGGCGGAGTGGAATCATGTCGGGGCTAGACCCAGTGAATCTGGGTCCCAGATCAAGAGGCCAGGCTTCGGTCGTCGCCGTTGATGCGGGGGAAGATTAAGCGCGCGATGAAAGCATCTAGGCAAGGCAAAGGAGGCTATCCACTCCGGACATATGCTTGTTCCGTCTCCCGTCACGTGCACGTGTCCCGGTCGTGAGTCGATTCCAAACACGGTTTAGCCTGTCTCCTCACAATGGCACCCGCAGCATGGGACCGTTTTGGACGCGTCTGTGGGATACGTTGAACTATCTATATACGCCACCGGTCATCGAGGAACTATTCCAGAATGCAAGCATCATCCGCTCTGCCCTACAGGAGGTCGAAACGGAGGAACTATTCATCAGATACAGTGGCATTGGAAACCATGGTATAATGCAGGCAGCTTCGCATTCACGCGGCATCATGGGTCAAGAGCATAGAAGCGTTCCTCGTCTTTGTTGTCCGGTGTGTGTGTGCTTGAGGATCTTACCAATCATCACATATTATGCAGCAGCTGGTCAGAGGAAGCCTCAGTAGAATCCTTCTTGTGCGCAATCACCAGATTCGGCCGACCGGCCAGCCGTTCAAAACTGTCCTTGAAATGATATGCGATGGTCACCAGCCTTGTCACCTAGATAGTATCACCACCGCAGTCCGTGTTATTCTCCACATCTTGCATCTCAAATCTCTCGGCGGTGTGGTGTGACGACCTGCTTGCATAACGGTTCTCGGGGGGTTATAAGACAAAGGGTGGAACGGAAGGGTCGAGGTGTTGTTCTTGTATCTATGACCTACAAACTCATAAGGATCGGACTGTCGAGAAAGATTAACTGTCAGTGGTCACTTGCATCAACCTCGGGGGGTACAGAGTTTCAGCGTCCTTCACTTGGTATGAGCTGTATGCCCTTCATATAGGGTCGTAGTCTGTTCGAGGTTATTGCACATCTTGGCTATTGGGCCAATGCTTGCGTGGAAGGCTGAATGCCTGGAGGCATGAATGCATCGAAGAAAGGAAAATGTGTATGAAAGCTTTTCCCCGTGAAGATGTTGTGGCTCAGTGTTTCCGCCCGTGTGGGTTTCTGGAGTGGCGCGGATCGGCGAGAAGATCTACACAATAGGACTTCATCCACCAAACGTGATTGATCATGCTCCCGCTGGCAAAGAACATCTGCTTGTAGGACACTATTCAGACGAACGGAAGAACACATGAACAAAGCATGATCGTCTGTTTTCACGGTTTACACGGGATGATCTCCCGCTCTGAGACGCGATCTGCACCTGTCCCGAGTGATCTGCCGTGTCGGTTGTAGAAGGTTGTCGGAAAGCCATCGTCTGATATGAGGCAGATTTTTTCCAGTTACAATATCGAGTGCAGGCAATATCTACATTATATCGAGGTAGGAGTAATAGTCCTACGATACTCTTAGTACTTTCACTACGTATAAGTGATTTGGTGGTCAGCTGCTTTCAATCAATCTTGGTCGACGTTCATGATAGTTCGAGGTAGCCGCACCGATATATATATCTTCTCGCCTCTGCTACTGCTCATCATTCACCAGTTTTCCTCCAAGCAAAACCTTATCTGACTGTGATGAGAATATTGGAAAGTAAAAATATCGGCACTCTTAACGATATAGTGAATATATATTTACATTAGATGATACTGGTGTTTCTAAAAGTTGGAGAGTCGGGCATAGACTCTCTATGCCCTGCGAGATCATTGCCAGCGGAAGTGAAGTACTAGTCAGCTAGAAAACAACAGACGTTTAATGCATATAACCCACTGTTAATATAGTTTACTCAATCTCTGTACTACTATGTGGGCATGTGCACTTATGAGTCTATCCAATGTAGGACGGCACATTATGACCCGACAAAGCAAAGCCTCTTGGTAGGAGCTATCGTGAGAATGTTCTATGGCGTAACGAGCTGTCTCATAGCAAGAAGTGTCATAAAAGGTAGAAACCCTATACTTTAGGTACACTAACTGAATGGAAAAACGCCTATTTTAGAAACCCATAACGACCAGCGACGAATTTCTAAGGCTAGAATGCAACTACTTCTCCTACAGGTAATGTCAAAGATATCCATACAATGGAATCATCTTCTAAGAGCACCTCCGAAATTGTCTGTCTTCGATGCAAGTTGTGATGTCCAGAGAAACTCGTGTGCTCAACGGTAAGAGGAAGGTCAGCCGAGGAACAAGTTGCACTTGGAAAATAAAATAGATTGCACCATACCATATGTCATATTCCCAACAGCAATCTCAAGACAGCAAGGCTACAGGGGGTTGAGGATGCTGACATAGAACAATCTAAGACAGCAGGAGACAGATGATTGCGCAAAAATACGATGAACTCCTGAAAAGGAAGGGGACACATAAGAAATTGTTGGGAGTGAATCATGACCCATCAGATGGAGCATGGAGATATTACCTCAATGCGATCCCATGATTCATTCGGTCTCGGGATAATCACGCAAGACGATGTCCACGTTTATTGGAAGGCGGAGGATGTTAGTGGAGGAGACATTAATTAACCAGGCTGGTGGATGTTAAACTGAACTAGGAATAAGCATAGATTATATGATAGATTAAGGAGGTAAAATTCCGGGTGTGGCCGTCGGATCCGGGAGTTCAGGTAGAGAGGCAATCCCGATGTGGACTTGCCATGCCGAATGTTTTGTTGTTCCTGCTTGTTTGGCTGGCGACTCGGCCCGGTCAGCAGAGGAGTTTCATCATCAGTGATTTCTCAGCAACAAGTCAATATCGACATCATCTTCGTGAATTGGGATCAATCAATCATTAATCAAATAAGAATTAAAACCAAAATTAACCGGTTGTCGGACAAGAGCCGGTGGGATATCCGAGCAAACCGAGCAAAAGCAACAAAAAAGTCATGGGCGGGGAAATGTCTGATTGGGGGAAAAAAGATAAAAGGGAAAGTTGGATGCGGGAAAAGCAATGATCTGCCGTCTTGGCAGCCTTGGCGCCCCATGTCCCGCTCGTCGAACCAATCACCATCGCACCTGCCCTGAATGCCGCGTGTTAGTACAAGGGCTTAGGGCTACTCGGAGGAGCCCGTCGCAGCAGTGGAGGGGATACCAAGGTGGGAAACAACAAGAGAGGACCGCAGAACATCGCGATCATCCCGAACATAGCTACACTGAGCATAGCACCATCATACCGGCCGGTTCAGAGGTCGAACACCCACTCGACACTCTACCGTTTCTGCAATGTCCGCGCGAACGGGTCCCCATGTGTCTCTCAGACCGCGTCCGTATCAGGTTGGACCTCCTTCAAAGTCGCGACGAAACAATATACGAGGCTGAAAGAGACAACCCGCTAGTCAGTAGATTGCTGGTTGAGCCGCGTCATACTGTCCCGGTCAAGTCCCAAAGGAGAGGTCCGTCCCCTGTCACTCCCCCGCCACGATGAACTAGTAGTCTAATTCCTACAAAGTGTATCAGGGGACTCAGCCATGGGAACAAAGCTCGATGCAATCGGACTTAATTAGTCTCCACATCGAGCTGGGCGTGAAACTGATGGACACTCCGCTA